GGTTGGATTGTGGCTCAGACGCATCGTGTATATATTTTCTGAAGTGGACGTCCCTAAGTTCTTATATGTATATGCATAAAAGTATAGGAATAAATACTTATAACTTATATATAAGCGTTTCTATGCGCGTATGTACATATATTTGTAGTTATATATGTATTATGTATACACTTATATTCCAGCAACTTGTCTACTTTCTATTCGTGTAATTTATTTAAAGCCAAGTCAGTAAAACATTTTTCTCGCAGTCACTTGCACTTGAGGCGGTATTATCCGACTTAAGCAAGCCTCGGCGATTGCAGCTATAAATGCAATGCTCCAGTCAAGTAGAAATGGCGACTCCCACTGGCTGCTGCCTGCCGTTGCTGCCTGCTGTTGCTACCGCCGTTGCTCGTTGCTCGTTGCTCTTTCCTGGTGCTACTGCCGCATAAAAGTAGAGTATATTTGTATTGAGAACATTCTAGGCACATAAATTCCAGGAGGCACCATTAAGCACAAACAAATGACTTCGCTCGGAAGTGGAGTGCAAAAGAGTGCGGAAGGAGTCGAATGAAGTGTGAAGAAAGTAGAGGAAATGACAGTGACGCAGGCAGGCAGGGAATCGGGAATACGCTGCATTATGGATTATGTACAAGTTAGAATGCCAACCAGGCATACAGAGCGCAATGCGCACGATGGTGAGCTCAGCAGGTAAAATGCAAACAACAAAGGAAATATGTACAACTAATAGGTTTGTATGTACTTTTATAAATAGGTATGCATTTATGTATATGGGGCGTTCCATGCCAAAATGAACGGGGTTCACACTTCGTGTGTTTGATTTGTTTTTAAATTTTTAGGGTTGGTGGATAAACAAAAATAATAAATAAATATGAAATTTGGGCTTGATTATTACGTTTTTAAAAACTTTACAGCACAAAAACAAAAACAAATCGATTTATTAGTTTTCCAAATATCTCGAGAAGGAACAAATTTGAAAAAAAATCACACATCAAAATTCCTGAAAAATTTTTCACATACAAAGTTTTTTTATAAAAAAAAAAAAAAATAGTTTTTGAAAATACGCCTTCTAAAAAAAAATTTAAAAATATCACAATGGTAGCTCTGAGTATGGCGCAATATTTAAATATAGTATTACGGGGTGCACTCTAGAATAATTTGAGTTTTACATTTTTCTTTTTACACCGAAGTTGAGTAAAATGAGTATATAACAAATTTAAAATTTTTTTTATTTTTTTTTATTAGAATTTATTTGAGTATGCAGTTTTGTAGCCCATTAAATTTTAGTGATAAAGTGCAAGTTTTAAGCGATTGCTCAATCGGCGTTAATGTTTTTTCTTTTAATTTTTTTTTGAAAACGGTTTTGCGCATTTCCTTCCATAAGAAAAAAGTGCAAAAAGCCGTCAGCATAAAAATTATTAAAACTCAACGCAATTTTGCAGTAGCTTAAAACTTGCACTTTATTATAATAAAATTATAAATAAATAAATTAAAAAATTCTAAAAAAAAATTAAAATTTTTTTTAAATTTGTAATGTAGGTACTAATTTTACTCAACTTCGATGTTAAAAAAAATCATAACTGAAATTATTGCAGAGTGCACCCCGTAATATTATACCTAAATATTGCGCAATACTCAGAGCTACCATTGTAATTTTTAAATTTTTTTTTGAGTTGGCATATTTTTAAAAATTAATTTTGTATGTGAAAATTTTTTAAAGAAAATTTATTTTTATTTTTATTTATTTTCATGTCTTTCTCGAGATATTTGGAAAACTATTAAATCGATTTGTTTTTGTGCTGTAAAGTTTTTAAAAATGCTTTAATCAAGCACAAATTTCACATTATTTTTTATTATTTATGTTTATCCATCAACCTTAAAAAACAAATCAAACACATGAAGTGTGAACCCCGGCCATTTTGGTATGGAACGCCCCATATATGTACATAAAGCCATATTGTTGCGTAGCCACCTTAGATGCGCGTTGCACCGTTCATACTGCCATTACACAGAATACCTGAGCAGTTTTAAAGCAGTTACTTTTGCAGTGGATTATTCTAGTTTTTAAGTTCTTGACTCATGTTGCTTGCAAAAGAGAAATATGGCATATTACAGAGGGCAAACTGGAGTTGCTGCATTAAGGTTAAACTGGGGAGTGTGTACTGTGCGCCTGCATACATACATACGTACATACATACATACATGCATGTGAATAAGATGTATGCTTGCTTTCAG